TGTGAAAACTGAAGGTCCCAAGTGCGATCCATGAAGAAGTCATGGGTGCTGATTGCTCAGGAGTCCTATCCTACGATAAAATAGCTATTAACTGTTGCTTATGTCAGTCTAAGATTAATTCTACCTGAAAGGTAACAATATTAAAGGGTAGAACGGAAATATAAGTGTGCATGAAAAAAACTACGTAATCAACCACTGGATGATGGAAACAATAAGAAATGCACAGAATCTTATGTGATGTGAAGTCATTTCGATGTAATGTCCCATATTCTAGGTGTTCATTTGTCGAATAATTTATTGACTCGTACTCTCTTCTTAACAACTGAACAGTATGACGCTGTGGAATGCGTCTGCAAAGAAAACGCTCTTTACAGCCAGTGTAACCGGTTCTACGTGACCAAGTCAAACCCACAGGTACACAAAATAGTGAATCAAAGTTGTTGATACATTAATACGTCGATTGTCGGTTAAAAAAAACAATAACCACTTAGAATGAGTAGTTGTTGAGGCTCTTCCTGTATGTCATCAATCATATCCTCTCTCAGGATCAATATATTTCTCAAAGAGAATTAATGAATAAAGTTTTCCTTTTCTGTTTGAGGGGGTCCATAAATAAAAATGCGTATAGTTTCCGTTCCATTATAACTCGCAAACAGTAGTCTTGTTTTCGCCTAGGTGGAACACCCAGAAAGTGGAACTTGTGGTATATTTACCTAAAAATCTATTGTAAACGTTATCGACCTTATTAGGATATACCACTTTCTTTTTACTGTAACTAAAATTCCGGCTGGATAAGTATCACATGCATGCAAATACAACACAGTCATCGTATTCATGTCATTTGAATACCTTTGGTTTATCAATCAATATCAACATAGGATCAGGCATTACTACGTAACGGTCCCACTTGCCACACCTCACGTCAGTTCATCAAGTAGAAAGGTAGTGAGGTGAAGGATGAAGATAAGTGAATGCAGTCAAAAGAAATATAAAGTACGAGAAGAAAGAAGAGAGGAGTGACATAACGGTGAGATTCGGTATAGTTTAGTTAAGGTGAGGATAATGTGTGTATATATCTGCGCCACTGACATTGGTTCTGAACCACATCACCTAGAGTCCCCAACCACCGGTTCCTCTTGTCCCGTGGACCCCAACCACCTAGTCTGCATCGTCCTACATGGCTTAAACCAACAGTCAGAGACTTCATACATTGGTGCCATGTTTTAGTCTGGCCACCTCGAGCCTTTTTCCAGCCTGGACCCACCTCAGCCAACATTGTGTGACGAGGTAATCGGTGACTAGGCATACGTAGTACGTGTCCCAACCATCTCAATCGATGAAGGTTCATAACCTGGTCAACTGATTTACCTCTACTGCCTAAAACTCTACACCTGACTTCTGCATTACTCAAGTGGTGACACCACGGAATACGTCCTATACTACGAAGACAACGGTGGTCAAACACCTGAAGCCTTCTGATATCTTCCACTTTTAATGGCCATGTTTCACAGCCATACAGTAGAACAGACTGGACTGCTGTGCAGTACACGCCACCCTTAATAGACAAACGGATATCACGGCGGCGCCATAGGTGGCGTAAATTGGCGAAAGCCGGTCGAGCCTTTTGTATACATGCAGAGACTTCACTGGCCACTGAGCCACTAGGGCTGATCTTACTTCCCAGGTAAGTGAAGTGGTCAACACACTGAACCACTTCACTCTCTTTTGTTAGCCGCGGCACCGCTGAAGACCAGTCCTGGAGCAAAAAATTTGCATTTGGGTAGTGAGAACCGCATCCCAAACATTCTCAAATTCCCACTCAAATTGTTCGGAAGACTCTGAATCTTGTCAGCGTCTTCACTTAACAGGACTGCGTATTCTAGGTCTAATGAAAATTCACCTGTGATTAGGTCAACGTCTGTGTAACACGATGAGGAGAGGGAGACCTCCATAAGCGTATCTATGATGAAATTGAAGCAATACAAACCCGCCAACAAATAATTTTGAGACCATCTGACGAAGTAATCATCTTTAGCTAATGGGCTGAGCTTTCCATCTATGCGCAATGAAAAGCTCAGTAACGCCTTCGAAGCGAAGACAAGAGTAAGGCAAGGCTGCCTACTACCACCCATGATATTCCTGATTGTGGTCGACTTGATCAAGCAATAAACTGTGAGGAGCGAAAAGATAGGCATAAGCTTGCTGTTTGACCGATGAAAAGAGTCTAGAAGATTTGAATTTTACCTATAGTGATTTATGTCTAATATCGCACACACTCGAAAATCTACAGGCCAAAACTGACAAGTTGGTAGAAGAGGTGAGGCGGAGAAGACGGGAGTTCAGGTGAACGTAGAAAAGATAGAGGTGATGAAGATGTCCAACCAACAACAACAACAAACACCAATCACCACCAACGTGAGAAATCTAAAGATAGTTGTCTCTTTCACCCACCTACATAGGTAGCATCATCTCAGTGACAAGCGACACAGATGAGGACGTCAAAACGAGGATCAGAAAAGCGAAACAGGCCTTCAGTAATCTGAAATCAGTGTAGAGATCTACTGCATTGCTCTACAATACACTCAGCATAATGAAAAAGATCCAGATTTCCCAGACTAAGTCAGTCAAGCCACTGCTTCTATAGGATGATAGAGAGACTCGGCATGTTACGAAAAGCATTTCCAACAAACTCCAGACATACATCGTCATGAGCCACCTGAGATCGCTCTTTACTGAAGACCAGATGGATAGCCAGAAAGAATAAGCAAGAAAGAACTCTGGGAACGAACCGACCAAGAACCCATCGTTCAACAAATATGCTGAGGAAAAAAGTGGAGATGAATTGTATTGGACATATACGGAGAAGATGGTTTGGGGGCATCACTCATCAGGCCAGGCCGTCGAGTGGAATCCGAATGAGAAATGACGAGTTGGACGTCCAATGCTAGGGTGATATGGAGGAGATTGTGTGAGGAAGAAATGAAAGCTTGTAGGTAGTCGTGGAACCGGGTTAAAAAGACTACAGAGAAGAGAGTGAAATAGCGACGTTCTACTGAAGCCCTGTGTTCCACTAGGAACTGAAGGGACAAGTACTAATAAATGATAATGGCAAATTTAGGGAAGAAAACAATTTTATTGAAATCCATCAAATTTTTCGACAACACATCATTTATCTCGATCAATTTCTTTTCAGTCTCTATCTTGTTAGTTTACAGTCAGACATGTAACGAACAGTTACACTTCAAGTGATTATTTCTCGTATTAGTTTGATTAACACAATGCAGTCACGAAAAACATGAAGAGTTAATCAATAATTATCATTATTTGTAATTCACTGATAAATTGTCTGAACACTACTATTTAATTTTAATAACAGTATTCCTGTTGTGATTATTTTTACTATTATTATCATTATAGTTATGCATTATTTAGTATGGAAAGTTTCAATACTTATGGTTTATAGCTTGCTATTGGTATCAGAAAAGGGGATAAATCATTTTTATAATCATCAATATACCTCTATTAGAAAATTACATAAACTTCTGTAGGCTATAAGATGTAAACCATACACGTCCCATCAGAAAAAATAAAACAAGTAAACACATGTGAAAGATGAAACCATGCTTCAATCTGGAGATAGATTACAATATAAGAAATATTTAGCATGAAATGGAATACACAAGGTCGAATTTAAGTACCAGGCTAGAAGTGTTTTCGAATAATGTTTGAAATCTATTCAGTAGTCAGTTAACAGTCGACGTATAGATGTCAATAAATTAATTTTGATAGTATTCTACGGATCATTCACATGTAATTGGTTTATTTGAGGCTCAAATTCAAGTTGGATCATTTTACAACGATATTAACACTAAGATGATTGTAAAAGCCTCTACTATGCAGAAGTAATGAACCCGTTATGTTTTCAAGCCGTTTAGCTTAACTTTCTTTGGGATTTTGAAAGAAGACTGTGGTACAGTGACATAACTTGACTTGATTGAATAATCCAAGATGAAACTGTTGCTTGACTTGAGTTTGCCTCTGGACAACCACGAAGAATATTACCAGGAGATGCGTTTGGAAATGCTACGCTTTGTGAGGCCTACATAACTAGCTCCACAAGAACAGGTTGACTTATAAATACGCATGAATATCGTTCGAAGAGATAATTTGCCACACAAGACAATTCGCAGTTCAACTGCACAGAGTATTCTTCTAAATGCCTCGGAGAGACTATTCCTCAGTATGTCTTCCCAGTTCAATATTCGTGAATAGAATCTTCTTAGGAGCAGTGAGAATTTATTCTTATCGATGTTTCGGCTTCATAGTTTTTTCTATGAACTCTGGAAGATAGTCATTCAGAAAAAGTACTCCATGAAGGTACTCCAACTCACTGTTCAATGTATCATTTGTGCATATTCTCCTAGTTTTGGTGCAGAGCGAATGAATAGAGTTCCTTTCCCATATCTAAGCATGCTAGCATCAATATCACTTTAAAATTCTCATAATACTCTATTCCGTTTATTGATTATAATCAGTAGTATTATTTGTTATCTGTTCATTTTTTAACATACCGCGTTAATCTACTACATATTTTCCGTACTCATACTTGTTTACTCAGTCCCAACCTGACTTTACAATCAACTCATTATTTCACCCTAGAGCATTCCCTTTTAACGATTTAATGTTGTCTTATTAGCAATTCTAATCTAAATGTGTTTGTATATTATTACTATAAATAATATTGTACAGCCGCTAAAAATGATTTATCGATTAGAAAATTTTCTTTGCTAAATTAATTTTTCTTTTTCTTTTTACTCATACAGTTGGGAATAAGCCACATCCACTTACCTAGGTAGGTAGAAATGGGTTCGAACTTGTGACTAAGTGATTGCATAAAACAAAAGACTACAGCTACACATATTTACATTATATAAATTTAGTATAAAAGCCTAATTAAAAAGTAATCCCTTTTTTTTGGTTTCATTTTCTTACCTTTACAGATTTTGGATACAAATTTATGAACACAAACGAATCTATTTACGGTCCAATGAATATGCTTAGAGAAGATCAACAAATAACCACTGAGCATAATTCATTGAATAATTATCCTGTTGTAAATACATTCACCACAGATTATGTAACTGAAAATCAGTCTTCATTGTTAGCGCCACCTAAAACATCTGTATAATGCAAAACTAAAGCAGATTAACACTTAAATTCTCAAAAAAAATACATATATTACTAAATTAAAAGACTGTTAGTAGACAGAATATTGTTTCAGTTTTCTCTCTTCTCTAAGTTTTTGATCACATATTTAAATCCTAAACTAAGTCATAACACTTTCTTGTATCTATTAAGGAATAAAAAAGTTTAAATACCAGTCAAATGAAGTAACTTTTTGTTCCAATATGAATATGAAGTATATAAAGTAAGTAAACGATCTAGAGGTAGTATTCATCATGGACTAACATCAGTTGGGGAACCATTGAAAATCTAGAAGCACTGGACAGCTACTTCGTCCTAGTATGGGACCTGTCAGCAGTACTGACCCACGACCCGGCTAGGGGACGAACTCAGGACGTTCAGGTTCCACACAGAACGCGTTAACCATTCAGCCACTGGGCCGGTTTTTCAGTGGTTCAGTAAATAATCATAAATGAAACATATTTTGTAAAATCCCAATGAAGTAGAAAAATAAATTTCTGATGTTTCACAACTTCATGGAGATCGCCTCTTCAGAGAATAAAACCTGTACAAGTTGTCGATGGTTTAAATAGTAAAAGGTGACAAATTAGATCACATTGTGGTCTATACATGATAATAATATGATCATAAATGTCATTAGTATAATTGCTTGTATTATACCGTCACTGATGAACCGAATTGATCGGTGCCCATTGGCATATTGGCTCTTAAGCTCATGGAAATCCTGGACTCCACTACTAATCACTATTCATCGTTACTATAGATGTCATTGTTATGCTGGTCACGAAGCGTTCACAATTTGTCTTTGTTTATCTGTTATTTAGTCTGAAATTCAAAGGTGATGTGAATATATGCACGTGTGACTTTCCAGGTTGGTTGGATGGTTAGGCCTTCCTTTATGTTGAGTGCATTATGATTCAACATAATGTGAAATGCCCAACTATTCTTTCTTTCTTTGTAGTTTCAAAATGCTTTTCGAATAATTTTAATATTTTCAATATCAATTTTGTGACTGTGATAGATGACGTGAACTGAAATCGCCGACTTGATTTGTAAATTCTCTAGTTCAACAGGATTATTCGGCGGTCGTTTTGTGTAACTTGCATGTTCTTTAGCCCTAATGAGGATCTCATGGATGATTCTCCAATATAATAGGCATCACAGTCGACACAACCTGAACTGTGTAGACACAATTATGTGCGGAGGTATAAGGAACTTAATCTTTTACGTAGATTCGGGCATTCCTGAGAGTATTGGTTGTCTTATAACCAGACCTAATTCAGTGTTTTCTAAAGATTCTTTGTAGCTCTTCGGTTGTACCCTGGCAGAATGGTAGAACTACCGTATCAATCCAAGAATCATCATTTGAATTTTCTCTTTGGTCCCTCCTTTCATGTTTCTGAATCTTTCGAATGACATTTCTAGGTAGTTATTGAAACATAAAACATATGACATATCACTAACTTCCGTTAGCCTGTCATATTCATTCGTAATGAACTTTGTATCTCTCTTGAATAAGCTCGGAAGAAGTAGAAGTTTACCATTAAGTGCATGTGCTGAGATGAAATCAAGATATCGATTTGAATATGTTGGTTTACGATAAGTCGATAAACTTCAACTTCCGTTTCCATTCCTTTTAACTAAACAGTCTAGGAATGGTAGTTCACCGCCTAGATTTCGTGGTTATTAGCACTCATCAGTGAGGCGTATCTACAACATTGAACAAATTGACATTCCCCATAGGATTTAAACGTGTCACCCAGCGTGGCAGTCAGTGATGTCACCGCTGAGTTGCAAGGCAACCAATCTCCTGTTGTACACTCTGAGTGCTTACCGAATTCTGTCGAACAGTATAGTGCATTTTGGCGGTTTTTTGGTTTGCTAGAGCCAATCAGTAGAAAAATTCGTACTTAGCAAGACGTGTCAGCGAAAGTAAGGAAAGTGATGTCTCTTTTGTGATTCAAACCTGCCTTACTAAGTCAGAGACGATACTACTGAGATATCCGAACGTTTATTAATCTTCTGTGTGACTGGTTCAAGCCATTAGTATTTTGCTTAAACGGATACTTCATTTACATAGCCAGATAGATAGTGAGTGATGACTGCCTTAGTCAGTGGCTCATTATCTTCGCTTTTGAAATGTATTTAAAACCTTATCTGGTGAGTGAGAAACCGAGTAAAAAGTAACGCATAGCCGTCTGAGTTTCAGTTTATTGACACCCGGTGGTCGCTGGTTCAAGTTCGGTCGCAATCCAGACTTTCATCTTACCTTCAATCATCACCAAGTATAAACACTAGTCTGCCAAACCACGGCTATCTCAGATAGTCAAATGATAATCAATATGATGCTCCTCCTCTCTGATTCAGTTGAATTTGGATTTGGATGAGAAGTCCTGACTAGACAGCCAGTGTGAATAAGATCAAGCGGTAGTAACGCATCACGAATTCACATGGTAGTCGAGCAAAACCCTTGATGATTGAAGTGAAATAAAAATCTGGTAAGCTGTTGGACCTCGTAGCTCAGTTGGTAGAGCACCGAGTGGGCTATCCGGTGCTCGCTGGTTCGAATATGACTGTGGTCCAGATTTTCATCTCACCTTCAGTCATCACCCAGTATAAACTTAAGGTCAGTTGTAAGGAACAATAGAGATAAACTGCTTATTGGATAGCAAACACCTTATACTAAACATTGCATGATAGTCACAAGGCAGTTAACTCCTTTCACCAGTTAGTAAAAGTCTACATCTTTGTGAACCATAGGCAATACATTCTGAAGAAACATAAAAACACTTTATTGCGTCGTCTTATTGTTCCAAAAACTGTTTTTCTTCCGTCTATGTTTCAGTATATAACAAGAGATACATCATAATAAGATTGAATCAGTTGTTGTAATTGACATAACCACACTGAAATGAAAGCCAACCAGAGAAAAGACAGAAATAAGAACGGTAATATCGGAAGTCATAAAATATTGTCAGACAAAAACAAGTAAGTTGAGAATTAAATAGAAATAAGGTATAGATACATCTGTACCATTAGGGTGAGTTTTCAGTCAAATCCTTTAGGGTTTTCAACTATTAGTATTGATTGTTTTCAAGTTCTTACTTAGACATATTCGACCTGCCTTCATGGTACCTACCAACCAACATTCGAAGTCAGGAACTGCCTAATCTCATGACTTTTTTAAAGTTTACTTCAAAATTTCTGGAATCTGAATCTAATCTCGCGGACGTTGTAGAGATAGCTGTTTAATGCATATTCCAGACACCATAATCGATGAAACAGCGAAAGCATTAAAAGTAACCTAACTTTCTCAAGTTGAACTCCAAGACCAACTTTGACATCAACCACATGATGGTTTCACTACATGCAGACGATCCTAATTAATTAGGAGAAGTCAAATATCAAGTTGGTATTCATCGTAGACTGATATAAGTCGAAGGAACGTTGGTAACCTCGGAGCACTGGACAGCTGTTTCGCCCGACTATGGAATGCCCCAGCATCGCACACCCATGACCCGGTCACCCAGAGGTCTAACCAAGGACCTTTAGGCCCCACCACATTGTAATCCAGTGGTCCATACTTCCTACTTCTATCGGTTCACGATACAGCATGACCTCCATCCAATGCCGTCGTTAAGTAACTGTTCTCATATTCGGCTTCTTTAGCCACTACTTCTCACTAGAACTTAAGGAATTACCTCTCAAACGCAGTCACTGCCGAATTCCCGTCTTTCCCATTAAAAAATTGAAATAAATACTAGATCAAAACATGATTTGATTCATTTTTCAGAAGATGAAATAAGTAATGATTTGAGTCAGTTAGATCAAATCAACTATGACTGCTAAATACCAGATGACACAGATAGTAGTGTCTTCGTCTGATAAATGACTCAAAATGGTTGCCTACTATTACTTGTTGCCAATGAGATCCATAGATAATAACGACTTAGGGTGTCCACTAAGTTGTTTCTTCGTTGCTTCTTCTCCTCACTGAGTTCGAACCGACATAAGATGAGCTTGCATCACGTGATGACATAGGCGTATTTGTCTGTATTCTCTGGGTTTTTCCTCCATTCAAATGAGTGTCACTAACAGTCTCTCCTGCTACCTCAGCAGAATGTCGTAGTAGCCAATCCCTTTTCTTCGGAATCTTAAATATTTCTCTTTCTTAATGTTCGAGGGATCTTTGTCTGAAAGCTGACCTCAAGAAGCTTTACCTTTAGCAGATACTTGTTACATTCATGGAATGTCAAACACGTACCTACTCAAGTCAGTACGTTATAAATGTCTGAATGTGCGACCTAGAGAGAATGTTTGTTGTCCCCTGAATACAGGTCAGTAGAGAGTGGTCATAGCTTCATCTGTGCATATCTACCTTTGGTATTTATGTCCATAGATATCAGGTTATACAGTCTCTCACGCTGTTTGTCAATGTCGCTCATTAAGAGTAAACGACCATTTGGTCAGAGTCTTCTTAACTAGTTGCTAACAACGACCATCTGTTCAGAAATACTTAGATCCTTTGTGTATCTTTTAGTCCAGTTTAGCCTTTACTTTTCTAAATTATAACCACTTACTACAGTAAACACCATTGTTTCTGTGAGCTTTTGCATGTGCAGATAAAATGTTTTTGGTAGAACTTATCGTTCACACTGGCCATGCTATCGTGAGTTGATGAGTAGTAAAAAGCTATCGAACAGTTGTGTGTACAATAGACACTTTGAGTTCCCCTTCCACCTTCCAGTCGAAAAGATTAAAGATGGTGGTTAGCGGATGTCCAGTAATAAATTCCGTATTTCTGTGCTAAGGCTGAATGCCCCTGTAACACAATAATTGATCAACATCTCATCAAATACTCCAAGTACAGTCAAGTGAATAATTACACTTACATGTATGTTTTTAAAAACGCTACATAAAATTATAGCCTGAGATAACCAGTTTTTGGTAAGCGAAGCAATTTATCAAATATTAATCTTCTTAAACAGCGTCTATTTAACATGTAGTGTGGTATGTTGTTTCAAAAAAAATCAAATGTGCTTCATGTCGAGTTTGAACAACTCAAAAAAGCTTTCGATTTAGAAATTGTGAAGAATATTTGTAACTCAGATGGATGGTCTTGGTTGTATTATGTTCTCTGAGCTGGGTTGTTTAGTCGTGGAAAAGCTTTCATCGTCT